TGGATCACGCCGCCGAAGACTTGACAAGAGCACTGACTCATCCCGACGCCATTGGACAGATGTCACCTCGCACCATCAAGGGCAAGGGCAAAGGCCGCCCACCCCACCCCACCCCACCCCACTGACGATCCACACACTGGCGTCCACCAAGACGACCTGATCTACACGCCCTCCAACATCAACGCTGCCACCAGCCCTGACACTCACGATCCCATCCCACTAGCCATCGACCAGCAACAACAGTCAACCATTACTTCACCTCGAACTTCACCTCCCCCAACAATCCCACCAACTGACATGTCAGCTCACGTTCCCCACAACGCTCCTTCCACACAGACATTTGCTGATACAGTCGCATCTCAACCACCATTCACCACACGGCCCAAGGGCTTTGGACGTTCGGCGCCTCCACCCCTGGCACACGATCGTTACCACTGCAAGCATGCAGCCAATGCTTATCCCTTCCCACCACGACCCGTCAACCTTTCCCCCTCACCGCAATCCTGCGATCTACAACAAGTTACAGTCTCCGCATACGCATTCGCGGACCTGCCAAGTCCTCCTACACCACCATCCACCACCACCAGACCACCATGTGCCATATACCAGCAATCAGACTGCACCTTGCGTCCCACCACGGGCTCGGCCCCTTAGCGTTACACAACGCAGTGTTTCAGAACAAGCTGCTGAGCGAGCGAGTTCTCAGAACAATAACCAATGCAAGCGCCATGCCGCACTTGACACTCGACTCCCGTAGAAAAAGGAGTCCCAGTCATTGCACTAATTCATTCACCGCTTTAACAGCTGTATATTTCAGTTTGATTCACGTTTCATGTCCTTTCCATCGAGTTTTTCAATGTCACAATCTATGTCCCTTTCAACAGCGTACGGCAGTCAGACGTCTGCATTAGGCCTATATTCCACTACCAACGCTTCCTTGACTTTTCGATTTCCACATTGATTGCTCTCAACCTGACACTTTTTTTCAGCTGCTCAAATATCGAGCACAGTGATTGCCCGTTCTTTCGCTCACCTTTGCGCAGACGATCGCAATGGTGGCAACAGTACTATGCCTAGGCTACCGCAGCTCCAAGATGCTCCTAGTGCGGGCTATGGCCCTTAGACACACGCTGTGCGCCACCATTTTCAAGCCCAACACCCCATATTCCAACCCCACAGCTCCAGCAACCGATACCTCGCCCTCATTGACTCCAACAACTGCCGCCGCACCTTTTCCTCCGGAACCACTTCCTCCTCCAGCCATGCCAGCGCGGCCAAACCTTGTTCAAAACAATACAACCCCACAGCTTGGTCGAGAAACGCAGTCTTGCTGGGCAGCCAACATTCAGCATTTACTCTAGGCATCTCTAGGCAATTGAGCCGATTTGGAGTTGCAGATCAGAGTATGCGGACACTCTCTCAAGGGCGATATACCGGCATTGTCGCAAGAAAGTCCATAGCTGAAGGAGTGTTTTACCTCTCAGCTACTCTCCGAAATTCGCACCAGGAATATCGACATTGATTGCCGAGTACATTCACCAACAGAACCACCAACCAGTACCAAAAAAGACTACCGACGCCAAAGCCTTCATGGCGCCCTCCATCAGCAAAATTGCAGAACGTATGCAAACATTGACACCACCAGCCGGAGAAGGCACTGCACTCCGTCGCCTCCAGCTACAGACAGGCCGTTCAGAAGCAAGGCGAACTCCAACGCGCACGCGACAAGCTGCGCAGCCACGGCATCGCTCTCACACCCACCAAGGCTTCTGATTCAGCACCGTCCCACACAGCCCCTGCCGCTCCCACACTGCCCCTTACAGCGCCCACCACCTCCTCCACTCAACCCTGCCACCATTAATAATCCCACATCGCAAAAACTTCACGACAACCACCCTGCCGCATGGAGCCAGCCAGTCATTCAGAAATGGATCAAAACACTCCCCCATCCCACTCAGACGCAAATCAACAACATCCTCCAAATTCTTGAGGGTGAACACATCACCAAGGAGCAGCTCCAGGAGGCTACGGTCTACCGCTCGCTCGTGTCCTCAAACTTCCTCCAAAAGCGCTACAGCATATAGTGGCAGCAGGAGCAGCCCTGCAGCCTGACCCTTCATTCAGCCACAACAAGCGCCCAGCCACATACTTTTGCAACAACTGGGCGCTTTTCACACAGCACTTTCACACTTCCTTCATCACACACCTCACATCGACAAAGCCTATGCGATTTTTGCATGCGGTCTGATCCACCTAACAAGCCTCTTTGTATTCCCCTCCCCAACATTCAATTCCCAGAGATGGCGCCAACACCTGTCCCAGCTTCACATTACACCTGCCACTTACCGTTACGACGCTTTCTCCCAACCCAATTAATGCAGTCTATGTTAAACTTTACTACAGCCAACATCACGAAGCACCAATACCACCAACATGGACATACATACGTGATCATACGTGGGCCCACTGGCATCGGTATTGCCAAGCGTGAATACAACAGACACGCCAAACTCAAACAACTTTCCAACAATCATCCCATTTCCGCTGAACTTTCACTTCGCTTTTGGCGCTCCAACCAAAACTACAGCACACTCTACCTTTCACACCAGGACGCATACGAGATTGCTTGGACTCCTGAGCATCTACATATCCAGGACTGGCAGCCAACATTAAATTGGCCCCACATCCAAAAACACCTATATACATGTGAACATCGCACCAGATTTGCCCGCATGGCAACACACAAACATTTGTTTCAACGACTCCGCCGCCGCCGTCGTACCACATGACAACCCAACCTACACACTACAGAACGCTTACACGCTCTCACAGTTCTCAGAGAACTCAGCAAACACAGCCGTTCCTCTTTCGAGACAGCCAAACAGATACGCAGCGGTCGCTACATTCACCTCGAAATATATGCCATGAGGCGTATGGCGGCCAGTTTTGAGGAACCTGACAGATCTCTCGTCCTTCATCTTATCAACTCAGCTCTTACGTTCCGCAATTTGACCATTCCAAAACAAACAAACCGCTCACTATACCTTATACCTTTTCTGTCACACCACAATTTCCACTCCAGCGCAGAAAAATGGATCAAGACACTGACGCATTACCATTTCCACCGCGTCATTCCTTTTCACCCACCTACATGCCACGTACGAGAAGCCGCCCACAAAACACTTCGCTCCAGACTTTACAACACAAACAATGAGAAGAGCACTTCTCCACACACAGCCAACCGCCGCAGACATGACCTGCAGTTGTCATCACATGCGCACACTCCTCCACGATCCAGACAACGCACCTCTCATCGATGGACACTACGTCCTTACACTACAAGACATCGTGCTCCCACCACACCTTCAGCTCTTTTCGCAAGCAAACATGCTACAAAAGCTACTAGGAGCAAAGGGCATCGCTACTAGGAGCAAGGACGCTACTACGGGCTCCTGGCCATACTACTAGGAGCAAGAAGCTACTAGTAATCAATACACAATATTTTTCACTACATTCACCCAATGGCTTCGCCATCACGGACTAACCCACAGCCTTGCAACAACACTACTTACCCTTCCTCCAGCAATGGTCCCGCATCCAACATCTACGCCACCTCCGGCGTTTCATTTCCAGAAACCTTACACAGCTTCAACATTTTCTCGGCGACCAGCTCCTCTTCCATCGCTCTGACCATGAGCTGCAGAACTTACGCATCTTCTGCCCCCCAACACTATTTCCACGCCTGCTTGACCACTTGGAACACACCACAACTTTTTCAACCGCTTCCCCACCACAACACACCAGTTACGCCAGTTTCTCACAACCTCCTACCCAGCCCACATGCGACGAGCCTACCCTTGGGGCTTCCGCAAACATTTTCATATTCCTCATGGAATCGTCTTTCTCAAAGCCAAAAAGCAATGGAGAAAAGGCAGAGCCGTCATTAGCTACTACAAGTCCATTGCCGGAACACTTCTGCGGACCACATCCAAAGCCGTCGACATTAATGCTCCTTCAACTCCTCCCGCAACTCCCAGGCCAGCTACCCATTCCCACTCTGTGGCAATGACTTCATCACCACTTTCGATGCACGCCTGACGACGTCCAACTTATGGCAGTCAACGGTGACCTCGTCGTTTTGTTTTCAACAGTGTACCACAACAACGATTGGTAGATGCAGTCATCAGTCCCTGCGCCAAGTGGCAACTTCAACATCACACCACCACAGTTAGCATTGACATCCACTCCACCAGCAACCCCATCCAACAGTCCCACATCGGACGCCGCTACATACATCGCCCTCAGTAGCGTACAATCGACGCAACTCACATCCCTTTGATCGTTCAGCAAGCTTTGCACACCTGCACTTTTCAGGCAGGCAGCGCGTACTTTTAACAAATTCAAGGTGCAGGCATCGGCAGCCAACTATCCCCCGCCCTTTGCAATGTCGCCGTTGCACTCATCGAACACACTTGGCACGATACCTATCGCACCTTCTACAACAACATTTTACAGGTTTCAGGTTTCAGCGCTCTAGTCTGGTATTGCAGTAACTAACATTAGATTTTGGTGGTTGCTTTGTATGCTACTGAGCAAAGACAACTTGCTGCATGACGTGGCGGGATTGCGGAGGGTTGAAAACTGCACACATGAAATGCCAAGTGGAGTTGAGGCCCCCACCCCCACAGGAATTCACGACTTTTCCGCAATTGCAAGTTCCTAACTCTTGTTTGAAGTTGCTGTTTCTGAATGACGTGGCGTTGCTAGTGCGCAAACCTGGCTGTTCAACATGTTCTGATGTTTGATCGCCATGCTGTTGAAAGTGTCTGAATTTCTGCTGTGAACATTGTGAACCTGCTTCGCAAACTGCCGTGAATGCGTTTGAACTTGCTCTACTCATGCTTTCTGTTTTTTTGAAGTGAAGGTTGCTTGTCAAACCTTTGTTTTGCGCTTCAAATAACTTCAATACAGCTTCGACGTGGTTCGGCATACTTGTGGAGGATCTCCCTTCAATTGTGGCGAACGTAGATCTGACTGTCAGGGCGCTATTTGTGAAAGTACCTCTGAAGTTGCTGGATGCCCAGAGATCAATAATAAAGCAACCTCAAATCGTTTGCCAGATTCTGAACTTTGTTTTTTTCACGTGTTTGTGCGACGATTTAGGATTGATGACTGTAGTGCAGCTATGCATATATAACAAGTTTCCTTGGTATTTTCCTGCTTCTGGGTGGATAAGCAGTGTGTATCGTAATTTGTGTGTTGTTGGTGTTGGTGTTGGTGTTGGTGTTGTTGTCGTTCGTCATTCCAAGGCAGGTTCCAGTGTCCTTCTCTCCCGCGATCTCCAAAGGTGATTGGAAGCCGGGTAGCCTCAATGCTTTGTATTTATGCTGTATCTCTTATAAGAAAGAACATTGCACACCACAGTTTTCTTGCACGGTGCCCGGGTCTTTGAGCAGATCGGACATGTGCAATTACAAGCAAAGAGGGCTGTAACAAAGCTAAATTGTTGCATGCTGATCCTGATTCTGCATGTAAAGACTTTGCATTTTGATGGCTGTATCAGAATGACTACGCACACACAAATGTACTGCAAATATACTGGAATCCTGCAGCCTTTGCAATTGTAGGTCTGCCACACGTGTGAGGACATGCTTGGAGAGTTTTCTCAGAACAAACTACCCTGTTCCCCCCATGTCGCAAGCAGCTGTGTGCTATGGCGACAGGCACTGAGTTGGGGAATCTTGGGTCCTTTTCCGGAGGGTATTCTGTTGTGAGTGAAAGCCCGAGATCACATCGTTTCTTGATGTCTTCATGCGGCACGTTCTGCTGGATGAAGACATGCAGAATGTCTAGAAAACAAGAAGATCTCAAGAAAGCGAGAAAAGCAACCATTGTCACATTCCTTTGCAGCCTCCAAAGGAGTTGTCACCAGGTGCCACGATGAAGCACCTGCAGGCGTTGCAGGAATTGCGGCCCTTAGAGCCACCCAATGCGATGCTGGGTGCAACTGGTTTGGGAGGGCCCAAGGACGGAAGTTGAAATGGCAGTTGAACTGATGCTCTGAATCCCCTGCACCACTGATCATCTATGCCACTTGCACTCGGCATCCACTGACAGCTGTTGTATTGCATTTCTTTTGGTCCAGTTCATTCGGCTTGCTGCCCCATAACGAGGAGCTCTTTGGTTCTTCGATGGCACCTTGCCTTCTTGATGGCGTCAAGCGAATGAGTCCTCCATTAGAGGTCCCTACTTTGTCCCTTTTTGCAAGCCATGAAGACAAAGAGTGGCATTGAAGTGGAGCATTGAGCATATTGAATCTGCTTTTGTGACGACTTCCAGCTATGTGACAGCGGTGCCAATAGAATGTGAGGGAGAGATTCAGGCACAATTAGAAACTTGTCGCAGTCACATGTTGCAATGTTGTAAGTTACAAGTAAAACTCTCGTGAACATGCCAGCAGCTGCTTGCCGAGAGGTAGAAGCTGGTAGTGACGCACTTTACCAGAAGACATCAGAGGCCCAGATCGAGGGTGTTGCCTCAGTGGGAATGCAGCATGTGTGCAGGAGTTGCGGGAAGTTGTACGTACCGCAGAGTTCTGGATCTCTTTGCTGGAAGGCAAAGCCCTCTCTCAATGATGTGTCCAAAGTGACCCTGTAACTGTGAGATTGATTGGCAGGTGAACAGAGTGACTTGCATGAGGAGATTGCAAAGCACAAGAAGAACCTTGCACTCAAAAGTACTTATATACTTGTCACTCCTTGTCAACTTGAACAGTTTCTCAATAGGAGCCTCAGCTTTCAAAATTGCTGTGAGTACAGTACACCAGCTTGATCTCATTGTGCAATTATAGTAACTCCAAGATATGAAGGCCGAACCGGATGCCAAGGAGGCATCAACTAACTGTTCGTCAATCAGAGGCAAAGGCCGCTTGAACGGGATGAGGAGCTTGGCCAGTCAGCTAGAGCTTGGGCTGCTGTACTTAGCTACTAGTACCTTCTTGTTACTCGTAATAATGCACTTGTGACTGGTAGCGATGCACCTCTTACTAGTAGCTTCTTGTTACTAGCAGCCGAGCAGCTGAGGCTTCCGCCTTGCGAGAGGCCGAGGTGGAACGCCGCAGATTGCTTTCGGAGCTGAAGTGGCTCCAAGAATCTCGGGACAAGGCCCCGTGATACAAAAGCTATTAAAAGCTGACGAATCCGTAATTGAGGTTGGAAGACTACTTGAAATCTGCAGATAAGTTTTGCAGCGTACAGCATACAGTACAATCCATAAAGTTAACAAGCCCTTCAAAGATCTTCGCAAGGCAAAATTATATAAGCCTTGCCAGGCTATTTGTGAGCGCCACATGCTGCGAGAGGACAGTGTACGACTGACAAGCCGCCGACAGGAGGATGTGACTGGTCAGAAGAGCGGTATGCAGAAAGGCTTAGGAATCTTAGGAACGTCAGTGCCCGAAACTGGATTGGACTTGGCGTGAAAATAGACTTGCTTCGCAAGGTGCAGTCCCTAGCCGCCAGGACTGAGTCACTATCAATTGATCAAGCGCTTGAACTCAAGAAGCGCATGCACACGGCATCATGAGCTTTCTCACTGGCAGCAGCGAAACATATCATTATCGATCATGAACTCTTGTTGACTTCTTGTGCCACCGCACTGCACCCAAGACTGGGTCAGGACCGAGGTCCTTGAACATGAATTGCAACGTGAGCGTGAAGAGAAGGCCGACTTGGAGAAGCGGCTTCCTCAGGAAGCTCTGGACATGAGATGTCAATATGCAGTAGTAGTGGACTCGCGGACCAGTAAGGCGGCATGGAACAACTATTCTCTTGATTTGTGCTGTCTTTTAGTCTTTAGGGACTCCAAACTCATAAAGCTTGTTTTGATCCTTTTTTGGGCACCCCCAAGTGATCAAAGCATATTTCATCATATTTCTATCTTTTGCAACTCCTTTGTACCAGTCACCCCCAAACGACTGTTGAAGACATCGAACACAGCTCGAAACTGTTGCCCCGGACAGCACCTCTGCAAGGTCTGTGGGGTGTTGCTAGCCCTTGGGGGCGCAGTGAGGGGGCAATTTTCTATTCTCCAAGAATTCTTCTGACATGGCATGGATGGCATCGAAATTCACAGAATCAGCATATCCAAATAGGCTCTCTTGCAAAGTCTCTTTAGGGGGGTTGTCTACATTCTACAATCTGTAACAGGGCATATGATATGCTGTTTCTAGACACTACGATGTCATAAAGGCTGATGTCATACAAACCATTGTAAGAAGAACTCACGGAGAAACAACCATTGCACCCTCACTGAACCCCAAGAGCTAGCAGCACCCCTGCACTAGCATTGCAGCCCCCCATCACACTGTGTTCAATAGAGTTCAACAGCTGTTTGGGAGTGACTGGTAGAAGGAACGATAGAAGTGCCCCCTGGAAAGGTCTCACAGTGTCACACCGAATCTGAAATTCTGCTCTTTTTTGGCATGTGTGCGCCAACACCCGGACAGTCCATGCTAAGGCAGCTCATTCGCACGAAGGTTCGCTTTGCAGAATCCTTGCAAACTCAAGGTGCGCTGTAAAGACTCGAGGAGAGTTGTCACTATCCTGTAAAGATGACTTCAGAAACCAGCCCTCTAACTGCCAGACACATTGGAAGCAATCCTCGACTACTACGAGGTGTCTGAGGGTTCGGAACCGATAAAGGTTACTGGGATGTGACATCATGGTGTATTTGGGAACCACTGAACAAAGAGAATCTTGCCATCCCAACCTTTGTCAAGTTTAACTGTCTTTTGAAGAGCTATTTTTAGAATCATTTTCAGTACTTGTACACCTTGCATGTCTAGCATCATGAAACCACTGTGCAGCCCTTTTGAGTATCAAGAAAATGTGCGTATGGTCTATGGTAGCGGAGCTGAGAAGGAGGTAACCCCTCTGGAGCTCTGATTGAAAAGCCCCTAGGTCACTGGGATCCCGGGTGCGATTGTGAGCCATAGATTTGGGGCCTTTGGAACCCAAACAGCTGGACTGGTGAATAACTGCTGTCAGCAACACCCTGTACCCAGTAGTTACATTGTGTCAAAGAGTCAAAGAGACATTAGTACAAGGAGAAGATGGAGAAGATCAGAGAAGCCCTTGAAAGCAATAGCGCAGAGTACGCTAGCAACAACATCAGCAGCTGAGGCAGTGAAGAAGGTAGATGAAGACAAGAAGTCATCAGCAACAGATGGGTCAAAATTGATAGGAAAGCTCAACACCTTTGACTAGAAGTCACAGGATGAAGAGATCGAGGCATTTAGAGAGTGGCCATGGGTCTTTGAGAGGTATTTGAGCGCAGTTGATGAGGGCTACATGAAGGACTTGAAGGAAGTTCATGAAAAGCCAAATGACAAATTTGACATGGACTTGGCAACTGAGGCAGAGAAGGCTAGATGCATCAAGCCCTATGGATTGTTAGCTTCATTGATGAGAGGAAGGGCACTGCAATTGGCGGAAGACTCCAATGGATTTGATGCCTGGAGGAGTTTGAATAGAGCTTTGAAACCAAGGCAAGAGGCTTGGCACTCTTGGGAGCAACCACTACATGGCAAGATTTTTCAATGAATAGTGCACTACAACCTCAACTCTTGAAGCTTGAAGAGGTATTTGATGAGACTGTCAAGGCAGGGACTACAATTCAGGAAGATTTGAAATCTGCTATCCTTTTGAGATGTGTAGGTGGGCAACTCAATTCTTTTTTGACCTCGACAATTGGTGACAATGTTCAATACCCAACTTTGAGGGAACAAGTAATGCAACGGGATAGATCCCAACAGAAGTGGGCTACTCCATGGTGGCTAGTAGCAGTACAGACTATCAAGAACCTATGCCAATGGACGTTGATCGAGTCCAAAATGCCAAAGGAAAAGGTCGAAGGGCAAGAATGACCGTCAGAAAGGAAGAGGTAAAGATGCCAAGGGCAAATGGAAAGAAAGGAAAAGGAGATCAGAATGGAAAAGAAGGTGATCATAAGGGTAAAGGCAAAAGCAAAGACCAGAAAGGCAAAGGTGTGGCATGGTGTTACACTTGTGGAAAGGCAGGACATCTAGCTAAAGACTGTTGGAGAGAAACATCATTCGACAGGTAGCAAGTGATCTAGCCATTCATCTTCAGGAGGAGCATCAGTGACGACTCATACAGTTGGTCAACAACATGCCAGTGCGAGCCAACAAGGGAGCTCAGCAGAGACCAAACCAGTGGTCACTAGAATTGTGAACAGTGAGCCAATATGATGAGCTAGAAGATCAAGACGTTTGAGTAATTCATTTCTACATTGGAGATGATGATGACAAGCCAGAATTCCAAGAAGTTGAAGAAAT